TTTTTTTTAAGTCGGAGGGAGAAGGTGATCCTTTCCATAAGGTAAATTTAATTTACAATACTTATCCACTCCTCCATTGTGGATGGACTAACCAATTCCAGGTCTCGTTACTATTGTTTTACCTAATTCCAGTTAATTTTAGCTTGTTTTGATGTCCATAATTTAACACTAAGATACTTCTTCTCCTTCTCTGATAAAAATCCCTTCAATATCAAGCACATACCTGCTTTGTATTATTGCTTTGTATTATTCTGTAATTGTCCATCAGTGTCTCAAAAGGCAACTCCAAAAAAGGGCTCTAGTATTAAAGATGATCCTGCATAACTTTACTCCATAATAGTACTAACATAATTTGGGTGTAATTAATTAATTAACCAGTAATTGACCCTGTGTCTGTCTTTATGATTAACTCATTGACTGCCAAAGACGTCTATAGACGTCTTTCATGTTTTTCAACAAGAGTGGCTGGGGGACGATCTGCTAAAGCTTGTCCGTAAATATCAGGCTTCTAGACAGAGTATGTAGTAACAAATTGACCCTCTAGGTGGCAGTGCCACTTTTGATGGGATATTAGCATAGATTGTAGGCAAATTTAAAAAAACGCAATGGTTCGCTATGCAAGAAATGGCGCCGGCGAGACGCACGTCGAGTAAGAACGGAATAAGGTAAAAACAATTTTTTTTTTCCTGGTGAAAGAAAAGAGTCTACTCTTTCTTTTGGTGTGTTTGGTGTTTACATAGTCGTAGCACAAACTATTCTGTGGCTCTTGAAAAATCAGTCAAAATGCTCAAAAAACTCTGGCAGTATGGGACTCTCTGTTCTGAAAATGGCTGGCAATCAATGAGTTAATGTGTAAAGTTCTTACCACTGGGGGTCCGTGATCGGGATCCATGCAGACAGCAGCTCCTGGGGGACAGGTGACCCCAGGAATGGGGTTCAGGGGCTGGCAGACGTTGATGTAAAAGTCTGGAGATTCATCGCTGTCGTCCACGTCTTCGTCTGAAAGGAAGGAAGTGAGGCGTCCACTTTTGACCGCTGACTTTTGATTGCATTTTCTTTTCCTCCCTGCTTAATCTCGGCCCATTGAAAATTTTACTTCTCAGTTTTGTTTTGTGGTGTTTTCTGTTTATTTATTTGCGTTGTACTTGCTGCTCTCTCATTTTTAATTGTCTATATACTTTTTAATTTTTTTTTTATTATTGACATGTTCTTGTACGGTATTAAGGAAGGATGTGGGTTATTACTGATCTGTAGCATAATCTTGTAGGATTGGGGAGGGCTGGGGAAGGGAGGGAATGAGGGGTTGTTGTTTTGGTAAAAATGAAAAAAAAAATCCTTATTTTCATTATTTTCATTGTTTGTACTTGACCTTGTCACATGAATAAAAACATTATTTAAAAAAAACGAAAGGAAGGAAGTGGAGGAAAGAAGCCTCTGGTTGGTCTGAGATGTGACACACGCTGCTTTGGATGCTCTTTATTTTCCACAGATTTAGGTGGGAAAGTTTGGCCAACTCACCTGTTGCTGTGTAGTATCCGCTGACATGGATGAGAGGAGTCAGGTCTATGAGAGAGGAGCCGTTCTGGACCGAACACTTTACCTGGTGAAGACAACAGAAGAAAAGGAATGTCTCTATGGGATAAAACATAGAGAAATTTACCCTTTTCTGTCCTGTAACGACTATAATGTGAAAGGGCTGCAGCTTTTTTTTCCCTGAAGTACATTAAAGTCACTTTTTTTAATCACCATTTCTTGAAAAATCAAACAGAATCCCAGGCTTCTTCTTCCTCTCCCTCTTTAGAGAGAGAAGCAGGCTGAAATTCTCCAGCCCAACAACTGTCTTAAATACAATTAAGATATTGTATTATGTGATTTTGCGTTGTTTT